ACCGCATAATACTTCCCGGCAACTTGAGATCTAAGTGACAGCTCTGACTGTATGTCATATCCGGATAACAACTGATTATCTCACAAACTTAACTGACGATGTTCTCAGGTTCTTCCATTGCCGTCATTCGTGCCAGCGATCAAGAACGTGATCCGATTAAGTTTTCTCTGGATGCGGTTGGTGGAGAGCTTCTAAACATCGACAATAACGGCAATTTAACGCTTAAAGAAGCGCTTGATCGAGAGGTTAGTGCCGTAGTAGACTGCTTGCGGTCCGCCTTTTCTCTTAAATCAGTCTAGTTCTTATCTCATCCAGTGCGACTGCAAACCACGACGTTGTTATTACAATAACGGATTGAGACGAGACGAGAAAAGACGTAGCCTGCGTAAACATCCGTTTCTCCTCGCTCTTCGCCGCTGGGGACGTTTCGCGCGGAGGAACGTTTGCGACTCAGGGGCAGAAATTTCATACTGATGACGCAAATCAATGTTTACATAATAAATCCGGTGGTCATGGGGTTCCAAATATATTTTTGTCCAATTTTACGTGTCCTCTAGTCGATTTTGGTGAAGTGTTGTGCTCATATGCCAACGAGCTCCAGCAAAACTCAAATGCTTCTTCTAGAGAACACTATATCCTACAAATATTGACTGTTTTGTTAGAGATTCTTCTCGTTTACATTTGACCTTTGCGGCCTTTTGTCTTTTGTCTGTCATTCGTAAACAATAGCTAAAACAATGTAACTACTCCGTTGACCAATCAGCGCTTCTGACCGGATCCGGACAGATTTTACATCATCAGTATGGAATTTTTGTCGCTGAGTCGCAGACGTTTCTCCGCGCGAGACGTCCCCAGTGGCAAAGAGCAAGGAGAAACAGATGTTTTCTCAGGCTAGAAAAGACGGAGTGCTGACTCTTTTGTAGTAAACAAAACCTCCGTCAGCCCAGAAACGGAGTAACCGATTGGTCCATTGCACAGCTGTTGACAGATCATTGACTGGTCTGTGGTGAGATTGCAAGCAGTACAAATAGTCATGCGTCATAACCAACTGCAAACAATAGCGAACCAAGCAGTAATCTCAGTAACAAAACTTTTAAGGATATCTTACAGAAGGAAACTGCTTTAAAGTCCTCAAGGGAAATGAATTCAAGGCAGTCTTACCGGATTTAAAGAATGTGTGTGTTTTTTCTTTTTCTTTTTTTCTTTTTTTTTTCTTTTTTTTTTTCAGTTGTTTATGCTCTATTTATAAATCGTTTCAAGTTGCTCGGGTTTAAAATTGGTTAATTAAATTATCTTGACAGCTTCGTTGTCTCTAGACAGAACAAAAGAACCAGCAGTCTCTCATTTTTTCTTCTCGGGCTTACGCCCTCATTTCTCGCGGATCGCGGCTTAATTCGCCACTCACGTGCTTAGGATTTGCGTGCAGTAACCTCGCAAAGAAAAATAAGAGACTGCTAGTGTCTAGTGTCTCAGGAATGTTGGTCCAAATTGACGCCAAAGAATTTTCCGGGAATTTCCGGGAATGATTCTCTTGAATGATAGGAAAATCCCGGGATTTTCAAGAGAAATTTCGCACGGAACTCGGCGCTTCTGGGAACAAGTCCCCGCACTAGCGTTAGGGCGGGCCTTGAACACCTGACTTGAATTCGGGATCTCCAGATTGCTATCGTACAAATAAAAAGAAATAAAAAGAAGTAGGAAACGTGTTGTAAAGCTCAAGGAGGCCAGCACGTGAAAGAGAAATTTGGAAAAAAAATCTGTTTTTCTAAGTTATTAGAATTGGATGATCTTAAATATACCAGCTAGAGTAATTTCTTTTTCAGACCATGTCAAAAAGTGGGGAGGATGAGAACAAGGGATTTAAAAAAAGAAATGCAATAGGCTTTTTCACCGATACGGCGGCCATATTGAATTACTTGGATTTAAGGAGTATTATGGGATGCCCAGAGGGCATTAGCGCGATCCGATATACTCGCATCAGTATTTACGCGCTCTTTTCGGGCCAATTTTTCTTTAAGATTTCCTAGAAACAGATTGCGATGGAATAAAAAGATCGTTCTGCCGTGTTTGGATGTAATAATGATCGCCTTTTTCTCTTTTTGTCCGAAAAGCGCGCGTAAAGACTGAGCGAGTGCCCCCCTGGGCATTCCTTAATACTCCATGAATCTAAAAAATTCAATATGACCGCCGTATCGGTAAAAAGGTCTATTGAAAAATGATATTACCTAGTATTTGACAACTGTAAAGTCCACCCTTGAATGAAACACATTTGGATACGCGCACGCTTATTCTAGCGAACCCTGTTATTCCACTAATTTCGTGACCGCCGATTGTTTTTTACTTGCAGACGACGAACCAGCATACATTCACAGTGATTGCTGCAGATCAGTGTTCTGGCTGTAATTTGAAGGATCGAGGGGTAATCCAATTATGTCTCTTAATGTGTATAAGCGTTCTCGATAGGGATAACCTCTGACGTTTCCTTTTATGTATCCTTATAATAAATATTTGATTCATAGACTTACCAAAAGTCTACCGTGAGGGCACCTAAGGCGCGAGGGACGGACATAAAGCTATAGAAAGCGAGCGACGCAGACCGCGAACGGCCGAGCTTTGAGAAAGTTTAAGGTATGATATCAGATAATAGTATTAAATATGAAAAACATTTTTCTATTTCTAGACAGAGAAGCAGTTTTACCTGCTCGTATTGGACATAAACGATAATACTCCTGTTTTTGTTAGCACTCCATATTTGGCCCGGGTTGCAGAGGTAAGCATTATTTTTCTCTATTTTACCGTGCGTGTTAATGCCAAATGAGAACAAACACTGGACCCTTCTACACGGTTTGTACTAGTACCAGGCGAAAATCTGTTACCACAGCTGAAAAGACGCCTTGAAATCATTGAATATGCCAGGACATAGTTCCAAGAAACTGTGAAACTTTACGTTTTTACTATGAACGGGCGAGTTTGTGGCAAGACAATTTAAACGTGAATAAAAATTTCCCGATTAAGTGTGTTATGCTATATCTCCCCTTGAACTGTTGAACTTAATTTGAGCTATTGCAAATGAATGATAGACAAAAGTCAAAGAAAAAATGTACATTACCATAAATCTACCAAGAAAAACTCAATTCTTACGAATACACTTGTTTAATATATGTGGGTGAATTAGTACGACACTGAAGCATTCGAGTCTTGCTGGCGTTATGTTCGCGGCAAAACTTTTGAGACAATCGTTAAGGAGGAACAGAACGCGGATTAAACCCAGAAAATTTCGCCAAAAAATTAAATGAATTTAAATAATATCGATGAAGTTTGAAACAGTGCAAATCCACTTTTTAAGTGACGTTTTGGCTTTTTGTCATCCAGAAATTTTGCTACCATGGCAACGTGACGTAACGACTTCTCTCTATTAATTCTGAAAAAAACTTACAGCAAACCTCTCCTTGACTGAAGGTGTGTCTGATGGAGGCAGCTCAGCCAGTGACTTACCAAAAATAAAAAAAACAAAAATAGAAAAACCGGTAGCCAGTGATAAATGCATAAGAAGGCTTCTAGACTTGCTGACTCTCAAATTAGCTAGCTGGATCTTAAACCCGCAGGATCTAGAAACAGTTGAATACTAGTTATTTTTTTTCAATGATGTGTACATTTTCTTAGAATCAGACTGTCGGTCATCTTGTGATTCAAGTCAGTGCTCTTGATAAAGATCTTGGACAAAATGCGCAAATATCTTACATGTTCAGCACTCAAACAAAGGTAAAAGTTGCTGAGGTATTATGAATTATCTTGTCTAACGTAATTTCAATACTACGGGTGATTTTATTTTATCTTACACAAATCAATATTATTTTTATATGTAAATTTTTACAATTAAATTTTTATTTTATTTTTTATTATTCTTTTTATTATTTATTTACACTCAGTATATAAGCTCCATAATTAAGTTACTTGCGGTTATGTCAAATTCATTTGCTTCTTCTACAGTAAGAGTTACCAACTGGATCCGGATGTTTCAGCAAAATGCAATTTAATTATGAGCAAAATTTTAAGCCTAAAATCCGGATAAAATTGAAAACTAATAAAAGCTTTCGACCTTAAATGAATTCCGGTTCACTGCTTCTTCTGCCGCCGGAGTAGTAAACAGGACTTCAGTTGGAGTTGAAAGCTTTTTTATTAATAGTTTTCAATTTTATCCGGATTTTAGGCTTCAAATTTTGCTTTATAGAGTGGTCAGTGGATGAATCTACACAAGTCTGCTATTACTTCTTTAGCTAACCTTCCTATTTTGGTTTCTCTTTAAAGGGCTCAGTTAATCCGTGGAAGGTTAGCACATCTTTTCCTCTACTTCAGTTTTGGATGCTTTTATCTCTCTCTTCTCTTCTATTCCCTGCTTAACTCTCTTGTGACCCATTATTAGATCATTCTGGTCACGGTAAACTCCACTCATGTTTGCAAGTAAGGTCGCTGTTCATCACTCAGCTTCTCCTGCTAGTTTTCCTCTAAGAACATAGCCTGTATGAGGAGCCGCGACCTTTCCACGTTTTTTCTCAAAGGGAGGGAGGCGACTATTCTCAGGTTACCCGATACAGTTGGATAGTATTTTGAGCGGTGCATGACATGACGATGGCAGCGTCTTTAAAGTTTTCGGTTCACAGAATTCTTCTCGTTGATTATTTTCTGCCAGCGGATTAAAGCGAAGAATTATGGACAGTCCATTTAGAAAAGTTAAGGTGGAGTGAGAGGCGAGGCGAAAACGAAATATGAAAAAATATTCGTGCAAGGGAAAATCTTATGAAAAAATTCAAACACATTCAGAGTAGCCATTAAAAATATTCCTGCGTAAACCTAAAAAAATTCCTGCTTGGGAAATCTTAACGAAACAAACTTCATGCGGCTCGAAAATCGCTTTAACTTTTCTAATGGTCCTCCCCTTAGCCATCAAAAAGAACCGATTTGACGTAAACAAGTAAATAACTAAGTTATAATTATACAGAATTAGCCAGTTGCAATAAAATTATTAACTACACGGACTTAATCAGTTACAAGGCTACTACTCGACCATTCGCAATTCGCAGATTTACATTTTACGCAGCGTTTATTTTGTCAAATAGAATTTATGGGAGTAGAAATGGAGCGTAAATAAACCAAATCCATAGTGATCAATGTGCAATTGCACTTAAACGTGTGTGTTTTAGGGCAAGCCAGACTCTGAAGACTCCAGGATCATACTCAACTGACTGACTCAACTTACAATGGTTGATCGAATGTCCAGAAGAGACTTGAGACTTTTACTGGGCATCCATCTCTTACCATTTGAAAATAATTTCACGTCCTCTTGTTCTGCAGACTGACACTTTTGAAATAAGCAACCACGATGGCAGAATCACTCTCAATGGTCCTCTTGATTTTGAGAATGAGCAGCGCTATACTTTGTTTGTTACTGCAAAGGTAAGCCGACGAATGCTATAAAATTTGACGTTCGTTCACCTGCATGAGGGAGATTTAAGTGATTAGTTGATGTCCGAATCAATTTTTATACTGAAAACGAATTAGACGTCTCATAATAAAAATTTGTAGTCTTAAATCCGATGTTCAGATCAGACAAATGTTGGGTCGAAATTCAACCTCAGCTAAAACCGTCTGCCAGTACAGTACGTCTTTACATATGTTGACAGAAAGGATTATTCATGTCTAAATAATACCTAGAACCGTCAGTGAAATTTGCAGACAACAGGCAGCTCTTCCTAATTTGTCGCGCAGTATACCTGGGCAAATTATTTGTCTCTTCAATGGACACTGATTCGTCTATGCAGATATCCCTTTGCTTAGTATAACAACTTGGTGCCTCAATGCCTGATGGATAGATAGATTGTTTGATTGTTTGATTGTTTGATTGATTGACGAATTGATCCTGTTGTTGTCACTTAGGATGGCGGGAGCCCCGCTCGGCAGTCGGAAACAACAGTCATAGTCGATGTTTCGGATGTTAGCGACAATCCACCCAAGTTTCTAAGATCTATTTACCTTGAAGAAATCTATGAAAACAAGGCCAAGGTAATTTTGGCACAGTGTATAAGATAGCCCAGTGACTGTTAGATCCTGCCTGGCATTCCATCTCTGTTGTCAGCAGCGCACAATTTAAAGTCCACCTAAGATCAACTAGCATCTTTTTGCTGGAGGAATAGTTATGTCGAACATAGTTATATTTAATCTCTTCTTTGGACAGCGGGTTTTGTTAGTTTAAGCGTTGAAGCCGGCTGCGACACGCGTACGTGACTTGGTGTACTTTGGACAAGTGAAACTAGCTGTGTTTCTATATTTTCCAGGGATCCATGGTTATGGAAGTGGAGGCGGTCGACGGAGATGCTGGTGTTGGCAACGAGGTCTTTTACGAAATAATTAGTGGTAAGTTAAATCACAACAACTTAGAAATAAGAAGGATCCGTGAGCTGCAATAATCTGGTGCGATGTGGTTCAACGCATTTTTTTCTCTCCATCCTTTAATCTGTTAGATTCTTAAATCTTCAAGACAAGTAGTTGATGATCCAGCTCCAGAATATTCAAGGAAATTGAAACACCGTTAGGTCAAGTCAAAGAAATACTGCAAGTAACGGATTTTAAAGTATCAAATCATCTAGCAAAATAAGTACTCTTCAAGATTCTTACTAAAGGGTATGACTCTAATTCGTTTTTTTTTTTTTCCTTTCACTCTCAGGTAACGATGAAGGATTGTTTGCCATCGACCGAAGCACAGGTAACATCACTGTAAATGGCACAGTGGATGCTGAGAGGACTGATTTCTTTAGGATCACTGTTCGAGTAAGTTTTGTCTCAGTTCGCTGTATGATTCCGGCCAGCCTCAGCAAGGTCAGTGTCGTTACAGACGTCTAATTTCGCAGAGAGCTTTCAAGGCACCTACTAACTAACTCGAAACTAACACTGGAACGGGTGCCCATTGTAAACGTTTCTTCTAACAAAGTATTAAAGTGTTGGTCTATATAAGTTTCAATTATAATAACGAACTGCAGGCAAATAGCCTTTGATAATATCTGAAAGGGTAAACGGGTGTTGAGATTTGCTTTATTTTGGAATGGGAAAACAAGACTTGATTAAACCTCATCCACCATATGAACGGGATTTGATACAAACATTAAACAAGGCAGCGGGAGCAGATCTGGAAAGATTGTTCGAGTAATCGGAATTTGTTCTTCCCACTTTTCTAGATGCTGTCTTAAAATTTGTGTTTTAAACACCCTTGAGTTTAAAATAAGTGTAGAGGAGATCCTCGCAGTTAAATTTGTAAGAAAAGCAGTTGCGGAAAGAAAGCCTGAAAAATAACAATCAGGTTTGCCGCCATTCAAACCCTGACTTTGCGATACCGGTGCAGCTGATCCCTAACCTATTAACCCTGCAAGCCAACCGGGGGTTTGTCATCAAATTGTTTCGTAATATACCATGGGAAGAACAGGATGTAATTCATACCAATAATTATTATTTCACCCTAAAGGGAGTGCTTTGTGCTCACCTTGGCAGGAAAAAGGAGTCTTTGAGACACGGGCTCTCCCCAGGTCTGCCATACTGATGACCCCCATGGCTAAGGGCGAAACAGCTGTCCATGGCTGCCACTGCCAGGGTGATAGGCTCTGCACATGCGTGAAGTACTGGCCAGGCCGTTAGTTGGTGAATGTGTGCCCTTGCTTTAAGTTTGTCTTTCACCCTTAAGTTCTTTTTTGTTTATCAAACAGGCATCGGAGGTAGTTGATCCATCATCGAATTCTACCGCTGTTGTGTTGATAACCGTTCTGGACAAGAACGACAACCAACCCGAGTTTTTAAAGGACAGCTACCACTTCACAATCAGAGAAGACCTCGCTTTACCTGGTTACATGGTAACAGATCAATTAAATGTGCAAGATAAGGATATCAACGTAAGTATAAAATAGAAAGAGAAACCAATACTAATTCATGAGAGATTTCGGATGATTACCTTGTAAGGTGCATCATTCTTGTTCGATCACAGAATATGGTGGCCATGAATATTTAGCTTCTGCGGACAAACAGATCAGATCTAGGTGACTAGAATGGACTCGCTAAGTAATCACTCAAATTATATTATAGAACGTTTTCACTCTCGTGGCCTAAATCTATGTAAACGAATTGAAACAAAAGAAAGAGTTTACATAAGGAAAGAATTCAACTCCCAAAGGATTGGTTTGAAACACCTACATGGCCGCCGTATCATTGCTTTAGGGCATCAATAATGTGAACGTGACTTCATGCGAAAACGCTCTATAGTAATTAAAGATTGCAGAGTGATTAATTGATTGATTAATTAATTAATAATTAGTCAATTAATGTTATTTAACCTCGACACTGTGTATAGCAAAGATGCTAGTGGGGCCGAGCAAATTCCTGAAACAAGTAAATTAAATCAAACATAAACGGGTTAAGAGTCCTAGCTGGCCGTACCAGAGGCGAACGAGTTGGCTATTTGCAAGCGTGATCGGGGATTTGATCTCGGGACTACCGAGAACAAACCCAGCTAGCGGACATTATTTGCTTCTTCAAAATCTGGGATGGAGATGCTTGCTATGTGTCTCAAGCGTTGCCGTTTAATCGACACCGATTGTCATTTCACTCCAATCCCTAGGAGTGTTTTCCGCGCTATTTCAAACGTAGGGTTATCCAATTAATGCTTGTGGTCTTTGATGTGCATTTTTTTTTTAATTTTACAGTAAATTATAAAGCTGTGAACAAAGAGGTTTGATAACGTTGGTGTAGCTTCGCTAATTGTTAAGTTTTTGATACAATTTGGTAAGAACGTACTGATTGAACCAGCGTGCTCACGTAAAACATTTTTTCCTTGTCTTTTTGGCCACATTGGTGATAACTTGATTATAAGCATTTCGTTTCAAACCTAGCGAGCGCTACTTTGATTATTCGATTTTAAAATCCTAGGCTATGTTATGGTTATTTTTTCTTGACAGCCTCAAAACCGTCGCTTCTCATATTCGTTGTCTGGCAAAGACAGTACCTACTTCGAAATCGATTCATCGTCTGGACTTCTAAAAATTAATGCCACCTTAGATTATGAACAGGGAAAATTCAAATATTCGTTCGAGGTAAGTACATGTACGAAGACGCGTTTAGAAGTCTGAAATATTCAAGAAGCTTTTGAGTTTAAAATTGCAGTTTCAACCTACCTATTTGGAAATACTTTTGTGTTTTTTAATTAATTATTTTCATTTTAATTAATTATTTATGTATTATCTAATTACTTATTAATTAATTATTTTCATCTCATTATTCTCATTCATTTAATTAATTATTTTCATTTTAATACAGCCAGGACAAAAAAATTAGGCAAATGTTTTGCTACCGGTCTAACCAAGTTTTATTTGGCAGAAGGGGAAGCAGTGAGAGTAGCGGACTCTCTTTCTCTTGTTGAATTCACTTTAGGGTTATACAAGCTACACAGCAGCTCTTTCCCTCCACAGAACCTTAAAAGCAGTAACTTACATTTTCATCATGAAACGAGCGTTCGGCCTTCATAGTGGTGGGGACCACCCCTCAACTCCCTTACCTTCTACAATGCATAGTTAGGCTCATAGTCTATGTTTTTTTGGTCACAGAAATTCGTTATAATGAGTAAGTTTATGTGTCTTGATAACGTCATAAATTCAAAGGACTCTGAGGGCCATCTTAGGTTTCCATCCTGGTTTTGTTAGTAACTTCCTTGGGTAATTCGGCGTGGATACCGTAAGATCTTCTTGATTCCATTATTCTTTTTAGGTATTTGCGAACGAGACAGAAACCTCCGAGGTGTTGTGGGGTGTCGCCTATGTCTCAGTTGAACTAATCAATGTTAACGATAATGAGCCTGCATTTAATCAGACTTCCTACAACTTCACTTATGATGAAGAGATCCCGGTCAACTTTTCCATTGGAACCGTGACGGTAGGTTTTCTTCAACTGTTAACTGAATATAGGCTCTCTTATGTTGATTGAGGTTGACTGTGTCCATTTTATACGTATCATTTATCGAGCAGCTTGAGTATTCCTGTATCTATAGTGCTAAGAACTCAGATGAGCACTTCCAAATACTGTTTTTCAGCTTAATTTCTCCCGGTGTTGATGGTCACTTGTGATCTGTCAAAAATTGGCCCTGCATTAAAGTTGGCGCATTGATGGTCTTTTCTTCCCAGTAGCAACGCCTTCACAATTTGATAAGACCGAACCGATGAAACCATGCCTGGATGACTTAAAAATTTGGGGGAACACAGTCTTATTTGGAGAGAGGAACCGATGACATTTTGAGTAGAAAAAAGTCGTGAATAAAGAGAAAAATGAAAGCTTCTTCCTGTATAGAACATGTTTCTGTTATTCCTCATTAATCTAGTAGTTCTATCGTTAATGTTTCAGGCTACAGATGCTGATCTCGGTTTGTATGGAGCGATAATCTATGAACTGTCTGGAAATGACGCTTCAAGGTAAAAATCCATTACCAGCAGCAATGATGAACAAAAGAAAATTAAGCATTAAAGGTCGCTTGCTTGATAGTACATGGCTTTATTTTGTAACAGTTAAAAAGTTAACTACTCTCTAATTCTTTTTATTAGTTTTACAGTAGACGTAGATGGTACCATCAAAACATCGAAGGTATTGGACTACGAAAACAACAACATGCTCGAGTTCTTCATGCTGGCCAATGACGGCGGAAGATTTTTTGACGCAAGCAAAAATTACGTCACTAACATACGAGTGTTACTCAGAGACGTTAACGATAACAACCCAGTGTTCTTGAACGCTCCGTACACTGTTGGTATCATGGAAAACCAGACAAACATTGTGGTGTATCAGGTTAATAAAACACATTCGTTACAGTAAATGGCCTCAGAGTAACCTTGTGGACAATATCACAAAGTACGAAGTTTCCTCCCACCATACAAACGTCTGTAAAATTCCGCGACTTTTCGGTGCTGGATCTTCGTTAGAATAAAATTCACAATAGGCATCTTTACTGGTTTTAAGGCGTTCTTTCCATCCGTCGGATAATCACATACTGGTCTTACTCAAAGTTGAAAAAACTGTGGATGTATCTACTGTTTCCATAAGTAATGTTCAGTGATGGTGAACAGTGATATGGTAAAAAAATTCTGTCAGTTCAGCCCAGCTTTCTTTTTATCTGGCTATGTCCTCACAGCAATTTTTTCTTTAACCTACCGAATACAGAGAATTAATGGTACATTAATGGTACATAAAATTCCAGCTAAATTCAGTGTTCTCTTTTCCTCTGTTGCCAGGTGTCAGCATCAGATTTGGATAGTGGAGACAACGGAAGGGTAATAACTTATAAACGACCCAATTCCCTACCCGCATGTACTCTAACTTTTTTATATAACTCCGCTCGCCCATGTTAACTCGCGCTATTTGTCACAGCGAATCAATTAAACTACTCACTCCTTGCAATGGAATTATTTCGATATGTTAACTCACGCTATTTGTCACAGCGAATCAATTAAACTACTCACTCCTTGCAATGGAGCTATTTCGATGAGGTCTTTTCTTTTGAGTCAACGGTCGCGACGAAATGCGTTAGTTCGTGTTAAGGTGTTCATGGCCTAAAGCGAGGTTTTTTCCACCCCTTTCTATACTACTAATGATAATCTTCTCCTTTTTTGGCATTTTCAGGTGTCCTTTAACATAACAAGTGGAAATATTGGAAATACGTTTGCAGTTAATGCCAGCGGATTTGTCACAACGTTAAAGATCCTGGACCGAGAAACCGTCCCATCTTATTCATTAACAGTAAGATCGTTTATGCATTGCCAATTTTAAACCACGATCCAACAATTCGCCTCTTGCCCACAAGTTCCCAAAATGCACATTTTTTGTCTCTAAAAATTTTGCATGAGCATAATGTCTTCATTTCTCTTGGGATGACAGTAACACCAAGGACAAATTTAAAAAAAATGCTATAGAATTTTTTTGGGGGGGAGGGGTGAGGAAAAATAGTCTTACGGCAGATGTGCAAATGGCGGATGCACAGCAAGAATTTACCACTTCATGTATTTTCAATTCCCTGGCTAAGCCTCTGTAAAGAGCCATTCTTCTTATCTTTGTTACACTCTAATCTTTCTTTGTCCCCATAACGTTTTGCTGGTTATGTTTGTTGTTTTATTTATTTGTGAGCAAAAGTTAATGACTGTTTTGGTGACTACAGATAATGGCATTTGACCATGGAATCCCTAGTCGAAACACAACCACAATTTTGACAGTAACCGTATTTGATAAGAATGACAACCCACCCGTCATCAAAGGTGGTGCTTATATCACCACAAATATAAGTGAGGTAAGTTTATGATATGATGACAATATGAATATTATGCTTTTTATGACGCGGTGATGCTGGTGCAGATATAACAGTGATGGTCGTACGGGGTATTTTTGGGATGAGTCTTCCTTGACGGCGCCATTGGCCTGCATGACAATTGTGGTTACAATAAATAATTCTTTTTAAAGTTCATTGTTAATCGTGCTAACACAGCAGTGACTAGCATACTCTTTTTTTTTCGCTTCTTACCAGTGTGAAAAAAAAATTAAGTTTAACTTTGAAGCAGCAGTAAGCGAAACAAGTAATAGGAAAGGTCGAATAAATTCCAATGTTGTGCTCATGTTAAGTTCGCGTTAGCACCATTCTCGAAAAGAAGGACCTTGAGTGGCATTCAATTGGTTGATGGCATGGACATTTGTTTTTTAACCCTAACAACTCATCAAAAGCTATTGCGACAGTACAGCCATTCTTAGCCGCCTGCTGGAGGCGTTCACATTGTATAGAGTGGGCAGAAACAAGAACGACCGAAAGGGGGGATTAGGGAAAGCGACAATCCCCCCTCCCCTCTCTTGCTTTACCCATGTACCGTGATTAACAGTACTTGATATTGTTTTCAGGCTGATGGAGGTGGAACAGTTGTTTACAGACTGCAAGTTTCAGATAAGGATGAAGGCAGTAACAAGATTCTGACTTATGCTATGATTTCGGGGCATAATGGGCAGTTCATCTTGAATAGCAACACAGGAGTTCTACAAATCTCGCCTACAGGACTGGATAGGGAGCTTCATTCAAGCTATAATATTACCATAAATGTCACAGACGGTGGACAACCAACACTTTGGGTGAGTATAAATTTGAAACGTCGCTTGCACTTTTAATATTAATGTCGTCCTATACGGTTTACATTGAGGGAGCTGTGTGATGACGAGAGGTTACAAGACTCTGCTTGCTTTTATCTTTATGATGACTGTCTTCTTCAATTTACACATCAAACTAACTTAACTAAGTAAAGCAAATACTTGATAATGCAATACCCATGCTATTTCTAATATATATGAAGGGATATTCCCGAACCACACTAACCTTTCCTGGGATCGTTGCTTCCGATCGTACAGTCAGTTGCCGCAACATGAGTGAGCTATGATACACAAAATATTGTAAAGGTTTCTCTTTTTCAGTCTTTCTTCCTTCGTTCTTCCTTTTTTTGCCATTAATAAGTAATGGCTGATCATTGCAACCCTAGAACACTGGGCAGTTGATTCAATATTACCCATATTTTTCACAGGATTCCACAGTACTACATGTCACCATACTGGACATAAATGACAATTCTCCTGAATTTGAACCTAGCCCTTTCGAGTCGCTTTCAACTTACATCAAGTCTATTGACGAGGGTCCAGACAGTGTAGATTCCGTGGTTATCGATATTAATGCAACCGATAAGGACTTTGGCTTAAACGCCGAGATCAGGTACTCGATGACAGGGGATAACCATGGATACTTCCAGGTGGATTCTATCACGGTTGGTTTTGTTCAGTTTTCATACTTAGTTATTAGATACTCTAGTTAGAACCCAGCTGGTCTATATAACCTGCCTCGCAGACGAAATTTGACCACGGTTAGAAATGTCTGCGAAGTTAAGCAGCGCCGATGTTTGTTCTGATCCCCAAAGGACTTAATGAATCGCCGGAAACAATTTTCGAATTTCTCTTCAACATGATTGGCAATTCGACAAAGGATTTTTTAACAGGCCAATCACGGCACATACTCAAATCCTGGTTCACAGGTAGGGACCCAGAGCAAGGATTTCGGCTCTGTTTCAGGAAAATTGGCCTTGTATTTTAATAGAAGTAGTAAATCTTTATATGTCATATAATAGTGATACATCATATGAGTGCAAAACTGTTCTTCAGAATTGTGTATCATATTTTGACTACACCTTGTTCGAATTGTTATTTCCATTGCTTCAGGGCGTACTAAGTGTAAAGAAAGTTTTGGACAGAGAAAACTCGGAGATGACTTTAGATGCAGGAGGAAGGGGAGTGTTTTCTTTAGACATCACGGCCACTGACCAGGCTTTACCTAATAATACACGAAAATCATCAACCGTACGGGTAAGATAAATGGCAGTACTGTAAAAACTATTGACTTGAATCTACATATTAATATTAATGGTGATGCCTCAAAGAATTTACAAAGGAAAATCACGAGTTGGTGACTCATGAGGGGATCGTGAAAAAAGCAACGTTAATCAGTTATAATCAGCAGAAAAACATTTAATAATATTTTTTTCAGAATTTTATAAATTTTACTGATAATTCGTTCTATTTTTTTAAATGAATGTTTATTTTCTTTATTTTTTCAGGTCACAGTCACAGTTAACGACATCAATGACAACACTCCTCAGTTTGTTGATCCGCCCCAATACACTCAAATTAGTGAGGCCGCTCGACCTGGAAGTAACGTGATCCAGGTTTCGGCATCGGATAAGGATCTGAGTTTTGCCGGCAAAGTTGTGTACAATATCACGGACGGAAACTCAGATGGTAAGGGCCTTCTATCGTAAACATTCTTGCCTAGTGGCCATCTTAACTAGTTTAAAACACAGGTCACGTAAACTTCATTCTTTGACAGTTACTCAACATGCACTTTTTCAACAATAAAAGTTACCTATTAGTTCCGGTATCCTTGTCACTTTTTTTTTGGAATGAGTTACAATAAGTACTTCCATTGTTGTTATTATTGTTCTCCCTGCTTTCAAAACTGTTACTATCGAAAATGTATGGCGTATGAAACGTCAAGCTGGAATCCCTGATTAGGATGCTTATTACTGCTGTTCGTCAGCTTTATGTATTTAATAACGGTACGTGAATTTTCTGTTAAATTTAAGAAGCCTTAATATAAGAAAAAAAACTACAAAAACCATAACTCTAACATTTTTTTAATAAACATAATTTCTTACATCTGACATAAAGGGGGACTACAAGTTTGGCGTTTGTGTCGGAGAAAATGGGCTGTTGGGAAGAACTTACTAATTGGCCTTTCACAGCTTTAATTCATCTAGCCGATTATTTTTATTTCCGTTGTAAAGGACACTGTCAATATACAGTGAAAGACTTTTCTTCAGCCCCGTTATTCTATCATTCTACAGGAGATTTTGAAATATCCCCAAGTGGATATATCCTAGTGAAGAAAGCACTCGATGCGGAAGTGAAATCTGTGTTTAACCTGACAGTTGAGGCAAAAGATGAAGGACAACCAAGGAGGTTTAATACTGTAAGTTTTTGACCCAGCCGTTAACCTGTTCTACTAGCAACTTGCAAAGACTAGCACTATTGCAGCTACTGCAACTTGTAGTTCTTTCATCGATCTGTAGAGAAATATACTAACAACGCACAGCGCTAGAATGCATAATTGCTTGTAACTGCTGTGTCAGGCGCTAGGCAAGCATATCCAGCTTTCCTTATAAGTGAGCTTATAAGGCCCACTGGCAACTGCATGCTTCTAACCAAAGGCATTTACCTGCATTAGCTTAATATACATATATTCTTTTTTTCATTCAGACTGTTGTTACCATCGTGATCGATGACGTTAATGACAATGACCCAGTTTTCAACACGTCAACTTACGTTGCCAAGGTGATGGAAAATTCCAACACGAGCACGAGTGTTACAACAGTTTACGCAACAGATCAGGACCAAGGAGAAAATGGTTACGTGACTTACAAGATCACCAGTGGAAATACAGGAGACGTTTTTCAAGTTGACAATCAGACTGGAGTGGTTTCTGTTAAGGGTTCAATTGACAGGGAAAGAATTAGCGAATATTCGCTCACTATTCAGGCGGAAGATGGTGGTCCCTCTAGCAGAAAGGTGAGGTTTGACATCCTCTTGGAGAATCTCTAGTTTACAAACCCATCATCGTCTTTGCCTTCACCATCCAGTTTATCATTGTCTTTCATTCCTTTGTCCAGTAATTCAGTTTTTAGTACTTCTTGATGTAATATCAAAACAATTTTCCTTTTTATCATTTCAATCCAATCGTTATTTCACACAATACCATAACATACCTTTAGCTAAGAGAATTGGATCTAAAATCACTCTTTTCGTGATTGACGTTTTCGATATGTCATAATATTCTAAATTGTTAATGTTAAATACGCCATTATATCATTTGTTATCTCAGGCGTTTGCAGACCTGGTAATCAAAGTTCTTGATGAAAATGACAATCCTCCACTGTTCCAAGAACGTTCGTATGAAGCAGAGATTGCAGAAAACTCAATAGCAGGAACGACTGTTCTACCCGTAAGTAACACATTACGAAGGAATCTTCCGATTTCAAAGTCAAGTTTTTTCACCAGTAAGTCAAGTTTGGACAGAACCTGCTGTCTACAATTGTTTAAGAGCTTTTTACTGGAGCTTGCACACCTTTACGAAAATCACAGTGCGCGGATTTTTAAAAGAACGAACTTAACATCGTAACCCTATCCTGACAGATCACAGTCTGGTCCTTTTGAAACAAACTGACGGCTATCTCGCTCTGACTTAGTATCAAAAACTCGAGAATGTTTATGAAGTAAATATAATAAATCTAAAGATAATGTTTCTACTTGCTTTCCCTTTAATGTGGTAATGCAACATGATGCATGCAACATGTATCAATGCAACATGCAACTCAAATTTGCTAATCTGTTTTTTTGGCAAAAATGACCAAGTATTGAAGTACTGGAGGCTAAGAGCGAGGCTGAGAAGAGCCTCTGTGAAATGATTAATAAAATTAAACTAACATGCAATTATAACGTTTTTATATAATCTAAAGCCCCGCCACTGGACCTATACATCTCCGCTCGCTTGTTGAACAGCTGATGCAATTTAATTTGTTGTTACGTTTTGCAGAAGGTACCTGTGAGTGCTACGGACGCAGATCAAGGAATGAATGCTAAGATAACATTTTCACTAGAAGGTAAGCTTGGATCATTGATTTCTTCACTTTTCAGGTTATTGAAACCAAGTAGTAAAGGTCACCAAAGTCTCCACGTTTAAATATATTTTGGAATTGCTATTTCACCAAAGATGACGAGACTTGATTTTTAAACAAATTATCCCTATATGTGTCATAAGAAATTAATTGAAAACGGTGTGGAGAGTACGTGTGTTGATATTAGCTATAAAGAGTTACTTTCCTGGTCTTTCATTGAGGCAACCATTTATGGCTCTTTTTAATGCGAGTACTCTCAGTCCAACTAAACGCTATTGACTACCTGTCGATTTTACGAGGTAACGTTCGTCGATCGCGCGCCTTCTTTTCAATGTGTTCACACAGTAATTTTCAAGGAGTTATAGTAACTCCTTTAATGGTGCTAATTTAACTCCTTACAGTGGAGTTATTTTTTGGGAGTTACTTTAACTCCAAAAAGGAGTTTAAAGAACTCTTTCTCAGGAGTAAAAGAGACCCCAGATGTTGAGGGGTCAAAATAACCCCAAAAGAGGAGTTATCTTGTACCTAAAATTTTTACTCCACTTTTAGAGTTAAATTAGCTCCAAAAAGAGTAAAAACAACCCATGTAAGGAGTGAAAATAACCCCATTTTGGAGTTATTTTAACTCCAGACTGAGAGGCTTCAGGATTAAAAATGACCCCAAATTCGGAGTTAAATTAGGAGTTAAAGTAACCCCAAAAAAGGGGTTATCCTGTACCTAAAATGTTTACTCCAATTTTTGGAGTTATAATAACTCCCTAAAAATTACGGTGCTCTACAGTAAAACTCCGCGACTAAGAACCTGGATTCTTAGTCGTGGGGTTTCACCGCTGGATACAACCTGGCAGTGGCTTATTCTATTTCCTTTTGCACAGGTCCTGGATCAGATCTTTTCGAAATCAACTCAACAACGGCAGTTATAACCTCAAGCTATAACAACTCTCTTGACCGAGAGAGAAACGGCACTTATTACTTAACAATAAGGGCTAAAGACGGAGGCAACAAAACATCTACTCTCCCACTGGTAGTCAAGATAACAGATGTCAACGATGAGCTCCCCCGGTTCAGTCAGCAAGTGTATTACGCAAATGTATCCGAGGACGCTGTTCGTGGCACCACGGTCCGGAGGGTAACAGCCACGGACCTGGACTCGTTGGTTTTAAATAAGGAGATCACTTACACCTCTACTGGAGCGGATGCTAAGTTTTATATCAACAGAGCCACAGGTTAGTCAATAGAATTTAGTTCTATTGTATATTAACGTTAGGTGTGATAGAACAAAAAAGAGTGTTATCAAGTGTGTTTGACAAAAAAAACGTAACCTAGTGCCTTTAAACCTTCAGCCCCACCCTCCGTTCTTCCCTTTTGCCCAGAAATGCATGCGAAGGCGAAAACGGCAAATCTGGCAAAAATCGTAAGAGGATTGGCAAAAATTATGAGATGCTGCGTGCAGTTCTGAACATATATCTCAAACTTATTGCATGATCCTTTAAATAATACTTTTCGGTAGCGCTCTTGCATGGTACCATTTGTTTTAAAGAATGAACATTACCAGGATTTTTCTTGTATTTGACGTTCACCATTCTTGGTGCGGGATCGAGTCAATAAGAAGGATCAGAAACTGTTTCAACTCTGAAGTGTTTGTAAACCTATAAAATACTCTTTCAAGTGTTTCCTATAGCGATAACTTCAAAACGCTCAAAACCCTAGTACCAAAATATACCCTAATCATCGGCACAACATTTGATGATTTCTGTCTGTTTTCTCCCCTATTAATTTTATTATTTGATAGGTCCGATACAAAACAAGGGCAACTGTGTCCAACTGTGAATTGCATTGCGTTTTATTTTTAGGTGATATAATACTGGACTCTAACCTGGATCGAGAATTCAAAAGCTCCTATATACTTTTCGTAACAGCAGCTAACATTGGAGAAAACGCCCCAGAGGGACGTTGTCAAATCAATATATCCGTCACTGACGTCATCGATGAGAAGCCTTACTTTGAAAGCGACGTGTTCACATATCATGTGGCGGAAAATGCGTCTATAGGAACAACTGTCACTCAGGTCCAAGCACTAGATAGAGATATCGGCGATACCATAACGTATTCAATTGAGGAAAGTGTTTCCAGTGGGTTTTTTCATATCAACCAAACCAATGGTATAATATCGACTGCTAATTCCCTCGACAGAGAAAACATGACTGAACACATAATATACGTGACGGCTTCGGATAGCGTCAACATGACATCGGAAAAAGTGAAAGTTATTATCAAGGTTGATGATGTTAATGATCACGCCCCAGTGTTTTCTAGTCCTGATTATGTTCAAGATTACCGTGAAGAATCCCCTAAAGACACAAGTATTCTTATAATTAGTGCAAGCGACTCTGATTCTGGCATAAACGCCAACATACGATTCAGCATTGTTGGTAATGCGACCAACTACGTTAAAATAAACCCCCTCAGTGGCCTTGTTTCTCAGGCTGATAGCTTACTTGATCGAGAGATATCGTCGTATTTCAACTTCACGGTTCGTGCGGCTGACATGGGATCGCCATCGATGTCTTCCGAGATTAACGTATCTCTCGTCTTGGTTGATATCAACGATAACAGCCCGCAGTTCAATAAGTCTGAATACCGTGCTTATGTCATGGAAAATCAGCCAATAGGAACGCCCATTCTGGTTGTTACGGCAACGGATGATGATATAGGCTCCAATGCCCGCCTCTCTTATGGACTACAGGGAGGGAACTTCCGTTTCAATATCGACCAAGACACGGTAAGCTTTAAAACTATGAAGCGTCTACAGAAAGCCTGCAGCATATTTCACTTCTCTTCAAGTTCTTCAATTAAGGGTGTCAAGAGTAAAGTTTTGTCGAACTTTTTCAGTCTGGGTGATGCCATTCGCCTACTGAGGGACCTATATTAGTAGAAATAAAAAAAAGGCTATTAATATACATAGCCTTATTCGTGTTTTTCTGTGTTAATTACGTGTGTTATGTCTTCGCCCATGAATTTATATGATAGTTTTAACCTTGTTTCGCTTTTATCTTCGTTTGCTCACAGCTGTTTACTTGTTTTTTCTCAAGGGAAACATAACCACTGCTGTCATGTTAGACCGAGAGCAAGCTGGTGCCGAAACGTACACCATGACAGTCTTGGCAGCTGATGACGCAATAAGAAGCCGGCAGGGAACAGCACAGGTTCGACTGGGTATCCTACATGCAATTCTGGGTGTTTTGAAGTATACAAAAAATAAGATAGTTGGTTTTAATTAAATGAATGCCTAACTGCAGTAATGAATGAATATAAACTAACGAACTAACGAAGCATAATGAGGGGAAGAATAAAGGAAGGAATGAAGTGATGAATGGATGAATAGATGGATGGATGGATGTGGATAGATGAATAGATAAATGAATGATTTACTGCTTGATTAATTAATTCAAGAAGTCATTCTTTATATCGATTAATCCCTTTGCAGGTTATTGTTACTGTATTGGATGATAACGACCATTCACCAGTATTTTCCCAGTCAAGTTACACCTTTCATGTCTCTGAAGATGTCAATATTGATGATCTCGTGGGAACGGTGTCCGCTTCAGATAACGACGAAGGGATAAACGAACTAATATCGTTTATTATTAATGCAGACAATTCAAGTGAGTGATGTCATTTTTCTAACTTGCAACCTTTCTTTGTGTCCGTACCTGATCACTGACTCTTTTTTTTTTTAATTCTTAGGTCTTCCCCTCGGAGTAAACGAAACAACAGGTGGTATCAGAACAACGGGAAAGCTGGACCGAGAGACAAACACGAATTTTACATTCGTGATTATTGTAAGAATAAAAGCTAACTTTTGTATACAAGAGGCTTTATCAAGGAAGATATCAATCCTTCACCTTGGTGGGGATCATTTGAGGAAAATCCGCCGTAAAATTTAGCAAACTTGCCAAATTTGAAAGTCATCTGTCTTAAAGCGACCGAAGAAGTAACTCCCCAGAGTAGCGAAATTTTATAGACGTTTTGTACGTTGGAGAGCAAGTTGGTGTCTTTACCATACAATCAACGTCCGTAAAATTTCCGTTAAAACGTCGTGGAGCTATACCGTAAAATTCCGAAAATAAGCTCCTCCAAATATACTAGGCCCCCCAAACCGGTAACGCAAAAAACCCGCCGTTAAATCGCCCCTCCAAATATAAGCCCCCCGGGGGCTTGTACTTGGAAAATTGCCCTCAAATACAAAGTAAAAGAAAGCCAAAACGGTAAATTTACTTCCAACTATAAGGCTAGCCCAATCGATTTTGAAACGCAAATTTCCCTCCGTAGATAAGCCCCTCCGAATATAAAGTCCCTCCAAAAATAAGCCCCTCAAAAAGGGCCTTTGAAAAATGTAAGCCGCGGGGCTTATTTTCGGAATTTTACGGTATCTTCGAACTTTATTGATAAATCACTCTCAAATTTGGCTATTTTATTTACTATTTTCTGGGCTATTTTATCAGCGGTGTCGACGGATGTTCACTAGAGCAGGTCGATGTCAAACGTTAAAAAACCGTAGAAGGATCTATTTGTAACAAAGAAACTAATTAAGAACTCCTGACAGTAACTAAAGCATTCCCCCAACTGTTTGAATAGGGTTAAACTAAAGACTAAACAAAAGTATAAAAAATGTTAATAATCGCTGTAAAACGTTTTGCAGTCTTTTTTTCTGATATGTACTTCTTTCATCGACCCGAATTTTTTCATTTTCATATCTTTCTAGGCACGTGATCACGGAAGTCCTTCGTTGGAAAGCAATTCATCAGTACAAGTTATCATCGATGATGTCAACGATAATGCACCCACATTTGAGAAAGTCATTTACAATGTTACATTACCGGAAAGCACATTCCCTAGAACCACGGTATGATACTCTTGTTAAAAAAAATATTTTATGTAGCACCGATCCCCTTTGTGATTGCTGGCGTACATTTATGTTGTATTTTGAACACTTAGTTATAACAAATTTCACTGATTTGTTCTTGTGGAACGTAAAAGAACCCACATCACTATTCGAAAAGAGTAGGGGTCGTAGACCCCGGTGGTGTAGCCAACCTTTACGGGTTGTGGGATTGGGTAGGGATGGCACCTCGCATGGGCCCTGAGTCCCGTTCGTGCAGATTCCCTCTGGGCTGGCCTGTGCCCAGAAAAGCAGGTTAATAAATAACTAACTATTATTTCCACCAATCACAGCTCCTGACCAAATTCTGAACAGAATTTGTGTCATCAGTATAGAATTTCTGTAACTGAGGCGCAGACGTTCCTCCTAGGGAAACGTCCCTATCGGCGAGGAGCCAGGAGAAAACGGCTGTATTCGCAGGCTACATATTGTTGGTTTTGACATGACGTCACTAAAATTCAAACTAGAAAACAATCCTCCTACCGAGATTTTACTTTCACGATGCATTAGAGCAGCTGAAAACTAATTTTCATACAAATTTTCGCTTCAAAAGGGTTCTAGAGTACGCTTGAATTTCTAAGCTTTAGAGTGAAGTTGCATTGACAGGACGGCCAAGAGAGCTGTTATGTAGGTTAAAAAAATGACTTATTTCAGGAAATTTTGCTCTCTTAGCAGTTCATGTATTAGAAAAAGTATTACTTTAATGTTCATGAGTTTGTCGAATAATAAATTAGCGCTTTTGTAGCAAAACTCGATAACAGATGTTTCTGTTGGTTTCCGTCCGCCATGTTGTAGCTCATCCAGGTGAGGACCAGCATGGCGTCTCCATACAAATCACTATAAGTTTGGGTAAAACATTTCTTCGGATATCTCTTATACGAAATATTCTTTGACCTGAATGTAGGCGAGGGTCTTCGAATATGTACCCCCTTTCATTTCCCAGATTCTAGACTTTATCTATTGAGCGGTTTTGATTTTTATTTTGGTCTATTTTGAATGGCGTGACACTGAAAAACAGCAATTGGAGGAAACTTATTGGATATTACTTGTAAAAAATTGTTTACTTGTTAAATATGTGCCAGGGTTAATATTTTTGATATCTATTTCTATAGAATATTCCGAAGGAGAGTGAGGCTTGTAATATTTTATTGATAATTTATTTTATGACAAAATTTGTTTTCTTTTTTCAGGTGCAAACCGTCTCGGCAAAAGATCCCGATGCAGCAGCGAATGGTCAATTTCGATATAGTATTGAACATGGAGATTCCGATGATCATTTCAGTATAGATGGTGAATAAATTTACTTATTTAAATCCTTTTGAAAATTAATACCAATTATTTTAAAAATCATGAGAAAATTCGAAATGACGTCTGAGAAACGACAGCATAAATTCCAAACTGATGAATTGTCACCACCAAGATCTGAGAGGTGCCTCTGATTGGTTTTAAGCAGATTTCCCTAGCCGCACGACCAATCAGAATCACTTAAATAGGTCACAGTGAAACATAATCAGTATGGAATTTCTACAATCGTTTCGCAGACGTAATTTGGCAGGGAAACCAGTGGTGGTGTCGCGAAATGTCAGCTGTTTTCTTAGGTTAAGAATGAGTCTAACTGCCTGACCTTTTTTCCTGCTCGGCTGGAGGGTTCTCCATTAGTCAGAATAAACCTGTGAAGTTGATTTAGTGATATAAATGGCTGGATGCATTAAAATATTTTTTCCTAATCTATTTTCATAGTAAATCAAACGGTAAAAAAAGTGTTAAAATTGTCTGTTTTGTTCACGTCAGCAAATTCGGGTGTCATTACACTGAGGCAGAAGCTGGATCATGAAACGAAAGCCTTCTACAATATCACCATCGCGGCACGTGACCTTGGTAGTCCAACACTCACTGGTTATGCGTATCTCCTGGTAACAGTCAGCGACGTAGATGATAACGCACCCGTCTTCCACAAAAACGAATACTCCGCTAGTATATTTGAGAATGCAACTGCAGGCGCGTTTGTTTCTCAAGTGAACGCGTCAGATCTGGACGCAGCAGAGGAGCACAAGACAATTTATTATAGAATCGAAGGAGGAAATGACGCGAGATTGTTTGTCATTGGAGAGTTAAATGGCACAGTTTATCTCAACTGGACAGGAGCTTCCCTAGATCGTGAAAAGGTTGCAGTGTATCCATTGACAGTAGCGGCGATTAGCCGAGTGAATGGAACGGAGCAAAAGTCGACGGTTGTTGTAAGCATTAGAATTGTAAAATTCTCTTCGCAATTTTTATAATGTCAGGGCAACTAAGATTGTACCTTCGTCACCAAAACTAGTACTCTTTGATTTGCGTTGAAAAATGTCATAGAAAACTGAAGGAAAATAAGCTATAGCTGGCAGAAGTGCAGCAACATAATGCTACGTGACCTTAACTGTTTTTAAGAAATTCTTCAAAACAAATTGTGCAGATATTTCGCCTCAGGATTGTGCCTCTCACGAACGCGCAAAGACCATGAGTTGCTTGCAGAACATAGTCCTGCATCCAGGAAAGAGGTGTATTGTCTCCCTATGTCCGCGTGAAAACGATCTGGTAGAGGGGGAAGAGTGAATTTGGAAAAGTGTGCGTACTGAAGTTTCCCCATTATACTTCCCTAATTAGGCTGCATCAAAAGTATAGTACAAATAAGGAGAAATAAATGAATGCCATAATCAGGATTTTTTTTAGGAGGGGGTGCATTAGTCTCTTGCTCTACTTCAACACCAATAAACCACATAGTTTTTTTTTTTTTGGCAGAATACCAGTTGTATTAGAAAACCGCAGGTCATCTCAGGGGGGGGGGGGCACCCCCTGCACCCTCCCCTAGATCCGCCCCTGATAATCAAGACTCTATATCACTTTGATTTACTATTTTTGCAGCTAACCGTTACGGTCCTGGACGTCAATGATTTCACCCCAGCATTTGAGCCCCCGTTCTATGTGAGATCTGTGGTGGAGGACACCAGAGCTCTTGGCGATGCAGAAGATAAAGTATTGTTAACAGTTTCTGCAAAAGACGAAGACCAAGGAGATAACGCCAAGGTTATCTATACAATTATCAAAGGCAATGAAGAAGGTAAGGTTGATTTGGTTTTCTCTCTTGAACATTAAAATTCCTTGTCATAAACTGTGAATCAAGACTAATTATTGCTTTTTTTGCGTCGCATTACTTCAGACGCATTTAAAAGAAAAAGTGCCTCACGCGAAGCTATTTTCGACATCTGAATAATCAAGCATACACGAATGTCATCTAATGAAACTGAGATCTCAACTCTTTTAACAACTTTGACACTTAACGGTTTCCATTCTTGACAATGATATCAGATACGTCAAAACGTCGAATAAAGTTACTCAGTTTAATTTTTTAATTTTTTTTTTTTTTTACAACACAGTAATTTCCAAGGAGTTATGATAACTCCTCTAGTGGGGCTAATTTAACTCCTTACAGTAGAGTTATTTTTTGGGGAGTTATTTTAACTCCAAAAAAGAGTTTAAAGAACTCTTTTTCAGGAGTAACGTAACGGTGACCCCAGATATTGAGGAGTTCAAATAACCCGCAAAAAGGAGCTATCCTATCCTCCACTTTCAGAGTTAAATTAACTCCAAAAAGAGTAAAAACAACCCATGTTAGGAGGAAAAATAACCCCATTTCGGAGTTATTTTAACTCCAGACTGGAAGTAGAAAGAACTGTCTCTTTTTCAGGAGTAAAAATGACCCCAAATTCGGAGTTAGATTAGGAGTTAAAGTAACCCCCAAAAAGGGGTTATCCTGTTCCTAAAATTTTTACTCTATTCTTGGAGTTATAATAACTCCCTAAAAATTACGGTGAAGCAACCGATTCATCCGATCGTCGACTTTATTTTCTTCTATTTTACCTTGTTAGGAATGTTTACCCTAAGCAATGCCACCGGAGAGTTATCTAAAGCAAAACCGTTGGATCGTGAGATAAAAGACTTCTACAGTCTCTTAGTGTCTGCATCTGACCAAGGACAATCACCGTTGTCCAGTAATACTACCATCAATATCACCATACTAGACGCAAATGATCAAACTCCAGAAATTCACACACAAACAATATTTATCATACCTGAGGTACAACTTTATCACTTTTTTATTCATCATTTTATTAATTTTTCTTTTGCTTACTTCGTTTAACGTACACGGCGTTGGTCTCAGGGACATTAGTCACTCAAACTGACAGAGCGAAAAAGTCCTGAAAAATCCATCGTATTTTCATTCAATACATACAGTCTTCTGTCTTCCATTTCAGTGAACGACCTTCCTTTCCATTCATTCTTTTGTTCGTTCGTTCGTTCACTCATTCATTCAATAATCATTCATTATGTCTGTCCCAAGACCAATCTGACTAACTTAACCTAGAAAATGACAAAGCTCGTAAAGAGGGACAAAATTCCATATACAACATTGCTATAAAGCGAGTTCAGTTCAGTTTTTTTAATTCACACTTAATAATATTATATTTACATTGATTAGAAAGTAACATTGAAATATAATAGCAAATAAAAGAGGAAAGATAGTCTGGCTTTGAAAGATGTGTATGGTGGCAGAGGAGTATAGCTTTCGAGCTGACTACCGCTAGATTAAGGAATCGAAACAGTACTTATTTAATATGCGCTTGGTGCTATAGCAGCGAGCTATGGTTTGTCTGACAAAAAACAGGGTTGCGCAGCAGATATCTCACATGCCAATGATGGAAACCAGCCATATTAAAGGCCGGAGTACCTAACACTAGATGTCAATAATTTACCATGACATTTGACTTTTTTCACAGAATGCGACAATTGGAACTAGGATCACATCGATCAATGCCACCGATAAAGACACTGGCACTAACGCCCAGATAAAGTTTACCATCATTAGTGGGAATGACGATGGAATGTTTGAACTCAATGAAACCAGCGGTGACTTGCTAACATTAAAGGAACTTGATTACGATCAAGCACCTAACTCATACAAGGTGCGTAAATATCTCAAATGACAATGGTTTTCGCGATCTTCATACGGCGTTCAGAAGGCCGCTGATAATATCCATCCTTTTAAAACTTTTTGTTATTTGTTGATAAAAAGTATGCCTTAACACACGTTATGAATGCTTAATTCTCATTTGTTTCATCCCATAGACAGCCATGGCTGAACGGTGTAACTAGAAAGGGCTCGTTTTTACTGTGATGGGAGAGAGCAATTCTCTTGCATTCTGTCAAGTCTTTTTTACTTTTGCAAAGAGTCTACCTCCAAAGCTGAAAATGTCCCTAGGAACTCTAGATGACTTTTTGAACTCTTTTTTTTTTAGCAGTTTAATAACTAACCTTGAAATGATTACTCAAAAGAAACTAAAACAAAGAATGAAAAGGATTATATGATAATTTTACTGTTCTAGCGAGCAGGCACAATTACGGGCGGCTTTAATTTTTATTTTGGTTAGTCTTACCATCAAACATTTAATTCCCAGCTAAAAGAACAAGTGAACGCCAGTCTCTCTTATTTGAAGTATAATTGCCTTAATCAACAGCTCACAATAAAAGCTCAAGACCTGGGAAGTCCATCATTGTCAAGCGAGAAAACAATAACTGTTGCCTTGAAGAATATCAATGACAACAGTCCAATCTTCGTTGAGGTATGTATCTTCTACATCATTTACTATATCAATTTATTTAAAGCTGGAAGACCTATGGCTTGCACGGCATGCTCAAAAAAGGGGAGGGGAGGCGAGGCGAGGGGGACAAGAGGGCGAAAGGCAAACGGGAAATGGTCCTTTTCCCTCTCTCCTCAGTCCCTCTCTCTTTTCCACCATTCCCCTGCCCTTTCAAAGGCCTGTCACGCAGGTAAGAAGATCTAGTAATGGAGTTAGCGAACGCCGCTAATAGGAAATACCTTTATAATTAATTCGTAAGGTTTTTTGCCTGAGTAACTTGTGCATACATTTTTGCGTTTTTGTCTAAATCAGTAACATTACCAATGGATTAAAAATTATACTGTTAAGCTTTATAACTATTTTCAGCGTCAAGTAACGCTATCGGTTGGCGAGAATCTTGCTGCCGGGGCAGAAGTAGGGACCATAGCAGCCTTTGATGCAGACCAGGACGGTCCAATATTCTATTACATCCAAGGTAAACGTAAACCATGGCTAGCCAGGCTTTACGTCAATCTTGCCTTTCATTTTCAAAAGCCTTGTAAGCCAAGATCAATCTTGGTTAACCAGCCTTTCAATCTTGCTTTTCATTTTCAAAAGCGTGGTAAGTCAGCTTAAACTTAATAAGGGTTAACCAGGCTTTCAATTCTACTTTTCATTCTAAGAAGCTTGGTAAGCCAGGCTTAAACAGGGTTAAACAGGCTTACGAGTCATTTAGCACTTTTGGTCCAGTGGGAACCACTCATCAATGAACACGATTAATGAACCAACGTATTACATGTAAGATTGTTACGGACACGGCTAAGTGTCGATGTATTTAGCACTTAATTACTAATAGAGGACAGTTTTTTATGTCTCCTACTTGGAGACCGGACCATCTGTTTTATCTGTTAATCTAAGACACAGCTATTTATTGTTGTCAGGAGGAAATACCGAGAATGTATTCGTCCTAAACGAGACTTCAGGAGTACTGAGAACGACAGGCCCTATTGTAAGTACTTTGGAGGATAAATTGTTTGGATGTAGTTAAGGAAGCAAATTAAGTTTTCTCAGTGTAATTTATAATAAGTGCTTACATTTTAAGTGAAGCAGAGGACTCGTGGAATCCTAGATAACTCTATCAGACTTTATTCATACTAACCTTACGTTTTTTCCGGATATCAGTCTAAGATAGCAAACTAATAATTGCTGGTTTTCAACTATCCTATTTTAACAGGATCGAGAGGTCAAGTCACAGTTCTTTCTGTATATAAAGTCCTCAAATGTAAAGGTTTGTAAACACTTTCTTAATAAGATCCAGTGTCGGCTTTGAGATTCAGTTATTTTGCTTCTCTACCTCTACCAATATCTATAATTGCTCTTTGCATCAGTTGTGAGAACTACGCCTTATCGTTTTTGGTTGTTGTTGTTGTTTTTTTTGTTGATATATTTTTACTTACAGCTTGATCCAAATACTCTTCAGCCAAGAAACAGGAGAGCTATCCCAGATGCAAGTTCAAATCAAACAAACGCTACAATACCAAGTATGTTTTGATTTTTCCTTGTATTTCTTACTTTAAAGTTTGCCGTCTGGATCTTATGCACGCATCGGTTTCAGAGAAGATTTTTAATCGCCTTTTAGTGTCAAAAAAGAAAACAACTACACTGAACTGACCCTATGGTGTTCACCAGTGGCAAAGAAAACTCATGCATCTTGGTACACTATAGTGCCAACGAAATGTTTTGATCCTTTTTAATCGCATTCGGTGCCTTTAATTATTTTTCGAAGAAAAAAAAGAAAGGAGCATGCTTGGTGCCTAGTTATGCTTAGCATATCTGCTCCATTATGTGCGACGAAGTCTAATTACTTCGTCCAAAATGTTTTTAAATTACGCTGATCAACGAATGTTTTATTGTGCTATTATCGTCTCAGTATCGAGTGTTTTTGTGGCCTTATACCATTTACATTTAGAAATTACCAGATATAAGGTACGTAACTGAGGTATACCTGTTCTTAAAACAGATGACGTTGGAGTACAGTTGGTTGTCATACAGATTGCTGATAAAAACGATAATGGGCCACATTTTTCAAAGATACTTTACACTGGAGGTAAAAGCTTTTTTTTGTTTAAATCCTTGCACTCAGTAAAAATGTGTGCTTTGCTTTATACCTTTTTTTAACACGCTCACTGTTATTCATGTATTACCTTTTAGGAGTTTCCGAGGACGCACAACACGGAAGTAACATTCTTCAAGTTTTTGTAAGGAGCACCGCCACGATATTTTTTTTAAATAAGCAGTTGAAGGGGCTGTCAGGGCTGGCTTGTTCATTTTGTTTATATTGTTAACTATATATCAGATAACAGGTCTTATTCGCTATGAAACTAACTAAGCAATGTGAATGACAAAATCTCAACCTCAAGGTCGAGACAAAGATGTTTCCTTCAACCCTTGTAAACAACAAAAATGAACATAGAAAAACCGTCAGGGGAACAATTTTTTAAAAAAATACAAGTGAAATCTGTTTTAATCTTCTTAAAATTTTGTCTATTTGTTTTTCATTCGTTATATTTGTCGAGTTACATCCATACCTTCTTTCAACGTTCTAAGCAGTTGTTTTATATGTTTCACCCGTATGGCCACTGCTGAATGTTGATAATTTCGTGACAAAGCTCTTTTAAACTTGCTTTCACTTAGGATTTGACAAATTCAAGCTATTCTTTTATGGTGCTACAGGATTTGCCTCGGTTCAATTTAAAGAAAAAATATATCCGATTCACTTGTCGATCACTGTTTCAAGTCAGGTGCACCCATATGTCCGGTGTAGCAGACTCAAAGTGCACTGTCTTAAAGGGAATTAGTTATTACTTAGGTTAGGGAAACTAGTGTAATAGACGTTTTCTTTAATAATTAGGCGACGGATTCTGACGAGGGAAACAACAGCCGTATTGCTTATGAGCTACTGAACACAAAGGACAGCACAGCATTCAGTATGGACCGTCAGACTGGTTGGATCAAAGCCAAAGTATCCTACGCGGGGCAGTTTGGGAAGGAATTTTCCGTTGATGTCATCGCCAAGGATCGCTTTGGTGAAGAACCGTATCTAAATGATACCGCAGAAGTTAAGGTAGGTTAAATATTTCCACGATTTTTTTTATACAGTTTCAAGCCAGTTGAACTTACGGTGTACAAAATAATTTACTGTACATTACTGACGTTCCGCTTGTTTGTAGATATATGTGTTAAATGACGTCCAGAGAGCTGTCATTATCTCAGGGAGATCACCAGATTTCGTTCGTGAAAATCAAGATGAGCTGAAAAGGTAACTTTGATTAGACATTGTTATCCTTATCTTATCTCTATTGCGCACAAGGCCCCCAGACTTCTCCAGCTATTTTGAATACTGTGTCTGGTCTCAATAAGCGTATACGGCAGATTCAAGTTGAGAATTTTTCAAAATAGAAAATAAGCAGATGAAAACGGCTCAAAACAATTCTTTATAAAAAATTTCGGGAAAGTACTAATTTATGTGTTGAAATAACGAACAGTGAACGACAAGAAAAGGGGAAACTAGGTCACGTAGTACAAAATTAAATTCGCGTTTGACGTAAACGTGATGCTTAACCTCTCTAATGATATCTTTTATCGGAGATAGGACGTTATCCCATCACCAAACCCTCAAACTGGAGGGCTAGGTCATTGTCATTTGTCGCCTGGGGGTGGAGGGACGGAGGATTTTGGGCTAAACAAGGTGAACTGAAGTGATCCCCCCTAATAACTTTTGATGACTTTCGCGATGTCTTCATTTTCCAAGCAAATTTGAGTGGTCCCCCTTCTGAATCCTTCCAAAGTTTTCAGCGATCACCCCTTTTGAGTTCTCAGTTACGACTTATCCCCACTTTTGTTCTCCCAAAAAGCAAGTGATTCCCCTAAAATCCTCCCCGCCCCCCTCAACGGGGATAAAAAGGGGATAAAAAAATGACCTGTCCCTATAGACGCTTCACACCACTGATCTGAATCATGGTTTGTTACTTTTCAGGGTTCTGGAGAATATCACTGGTTATATTATCAATATAGATGACATAAACTATTACAAAGATGAAAATGGAAAATATGACTATGACAGGTAAAATTTCTTCTCTGGTTTATATTTCTCTGTTAAATTTTTGCACCATTCCATTGTTTTTAACGGGTTATCATTATCAGTAAATGGAAGAGCAGGTCACTGAGGTGGAACAGGATGTCATTCTTCAAAATAATGAATTATCGCTCCACTTCAGCATACACCATAAAGGCCTGCTGGCTCTAAAAAATGAAAATTAAAAGGTGAATTAAATCGGATAAAACTTTGTGACCCTTGGTTATCTCCAAAATAATAACCTCGACTTTACGCTCAGACATTACTTTTTAAGGGGCCTTCGGAGAGCGGGCATAATCCTATATACACGACAAGGCGGGCAAAGGGGTAGGCAGGCCTCAGTAGAATGCTTTAATATACTACAGAAAAAAAAAAATTTGCTGATTCTTTGCATATTTACCGTCTTTTTCCATAGAACGGCAGTGTTGTTTCATGCAGTTGATCCGAAAACAAACAAAGTGGTTGACAAGGATATTGTCATCGAGTAAGTTTGGGTTTTGCAGCCATTTATATTGTGATTTGATCTACTCGCAGGGTTTTTTTCGTGTTCTTTCAAGGAGGGTTGCAAAAGGCAGGGGTTGGAGTGAGGCAATAGCAAGTTCATTATTTATAATTTCGAAAAATGGAAGTCAGTTAATTACCCGCATTTTTATACTGCCAATCGTCAAAATCAACTAATGACAATGTTGCGTCATTGTGATCTAACTTCACAGCCATACATTTTGTTATTTGACCCGCCAATAAGTGATTCAATAATAATAATAATAGTAATAATAATAATAATAATAATAATTAATTTAAAAATTTATAACGCGCAAATTCAACAGAAAATTTCAGTACCTGGTCATAAACAAGCCAAGTCATTCGCCATAAAACTGCAATGCAAGGAGAACTTCATTGAATAGGATTTTTATCACGTCGAGATACTGTACCATACCCGGCTTGGAACATGTTCTGCCTTTTTCCTTATCAAAGTACTGAGGAAATGACTAAAAATATGCTTCTTTCTTGTAGAAAAATCGATAACAACTATGACAAGCGTCTTCCGTTTTTCCAGGAATGGAAAATTAAAGAAGTGAAGGTAAAGTCGATTTAGTGGTTATCACCATAAGATGAACGTAAAGCTTTTAACCCAACACATGCTTAAAAAAAACTTCTTATGAGATGAATGATAAGGGAATGATATTGAAGGCGACGACGATGACACTGTCGACACTGAATGACGAGGGTGATGACGATGCCGTTAATAAGGACCTTAAGCGAGGACGACGAAGACGGCAGTGAAAACGTCGGTAAAAAATTAATTTGCGTTCTTTCAAACTTTAAATCGCGTCTATTTGGACCCGCTCAATATATCAAAAGCAGGCGATTTTTCCCGGATTTGAATTCTTAAGGATTTTATTCAGGTTCAAAAAGAGGAAGGAAAATTCGTCGTCGTATGTTCACGTCCACCGAAAAACGGCAAATTAGGAGGTTTCACGTCCCTAATGACGACGACGACTATGAAGACGACAATGGTGATGGTGAATGATGATGATGATGATAATGATGATGATAATGGTGATGGTGATAAAACCATGTTGAAACAGAACGACTGAATCAGTAAAAACTACTTCCAATACAGTTCTTTTTTATTAAATAAATCATAACATGTTCAGAGATACGAAACAGGAAAATGACCTTAAAATACAACGAAACTTTAGGTTAACTTAATAAAAGCAACACACTTCAGTTGTCATTAATCTTTAAAATTCGTTTTGTAAGTTTTTGTCTTTTCTTTATCACAAGGCTCACGTTCCGGAGGAAAAAGAAGATGCGTTTCCAGTGGTGTTAGCTGTGGTGATCGGCCTGGGAATCCTTCTCTTCTTGATTATTTTGATATTCTGTTGTGTGATATTTAAGCTGAGGAAAAAGTACGTCCTTAACCAATGTTCCTTTATTTTTGGCGTTAACTTTCAGTTGTTCTTGCTGTTAATGATAACAAATATTTATAAAACCAGCCTTACCTTAATGCCTTCACCCCATCTTGGCAGAGGCAATTTTAATGAAATAGAATAGCAAACTCGCCACGTCTTTAGCTTCTATTCATTTTTTGTTATTTAATTCAGATAAATGTTGTATATGCATTTTTATTTTTCAAACTTGTTTAGGCAAAAAAGAAAACTCAGGGCAGCAACTGCAGCCAGTTATGGAGGTAAATACACACTAAACGATGAATTATTTACCATTTTAACCATGTTTATGATTACCTTCAGTGCTTACCCTTTGAGCAACTTATAATCGGTTTAGAGGGTTTCTTGTCCTGTCTTTTTAAGAGACCTAATTTTAAAGCTACATTTACTGACTAAATCTATAACAATAACAAAAGTGACACAAGCTGCGCCAAAGCGGCAGACATAGAAAAACTACGTTTTTATTGCCTGCATGCACCTGTCGGTTTAATTACTTTTGCGAGTATAGTTACAGGTGGTATAGCAAAACGATAAGTTTTCTTTACATTAAAATGTGCTTATGTTTTTTTTTGTGTTTTAGCCTGGGTTTGGGTTTCTTGTGCATTCGAAATTCTATAATGGCGGAGTTATATTTCATAGACCGGCTGCACAGAAGTAACATAAAATTATCACGGTGGGCGTATAGGACCCAAAAGAATTGAGGTAGGAAATACTTTTGCATTTTTTATTCATTTGAGCTCAAACTTTGTAGGATGGTAGAACTTTGTATTCCAAAAAACCCGATGTTTTTGTGACGTCATTTTCCCGCCAAAAGAAACGTTACTGCGCTTTTCACAAACATGCGAATTCTGAAGTTCAAAAGCCAACTGACGATTGCGTTTTTCGCTGCCGTCAATCATCTTAACGGACCTCTTAGGAAACAAAACTTTACTTTAACGGGTTCAAAAGGTCAAGGTTTGTGATTTGTGATTGGTGGATTTCGATCCGTTTTGTGTGTTTCTGTGTTTCAAGGTTCGTTGCTTGTGGTCGTAATTATGATTAACGGCAGCGAAAAACGCAATTGTGAAGGCGGCTTTTGAACTTTAGAGTTCGCATGTTTGTGAAAAGCGCTGTAAAATCAAAAACAAAAAACATAGGATTTTTTGGAATACAAAGTTCTACCATCCTGCGAAGTTTGAGCTCAAACGAATAAAACATGTGAAAGTAATTCCTACCTCGTAATTTTTTGGGTCCTACACGCCCATCGTGTTATGTGCGCGGTTTTCGAATTCCAAATGTACTATTAATTGGAATATATAATTATTTGCGAGCAAACTACTTGATTTCCTTTTTCTTTCAGGTTCCCGCTCAGTGAATGGAAATGGAACCGTTACATCCATATCGGCAAGAAACCTGCATATTTCCGAAGGGTTTGTTAAATTCTTTCACTCTTAAGCGAAAAAAACTTACTGCTCTCAATTTTCCATATGTGCTCACTTTTTCAATCGCTTTTAATTTCTTAAAAATTTACGCGTGTCGAGCCGACCGAGTACTGAGTACTGTGTAAGCCACATTCGCACTGTTCAGGATCAAACTTTTAAACACAAGTTCAAGCTTATAAGATTCTTTTATACACAAAGGCATCCAGCCAGTCAAGTCAGTCAAGCAAGTATTTGAGCTTAAGTAAAGGCGTTTTTGAGCAACGCACGACAACCGGAAATGAACCCTTTTCCCTTATTTTGGTGCCTTCAGTCTTATAAAAACGATTTGCCGCAAATGTGGGCAAGACGACTGCTCAAAAATAAAAACAAACACTTCCAATTGACGTGCGTCGCTCAAAAACGTCTTTAAGCTCACTAATCCATGTAAGGTACAGGTCTGACAATGTCTTACACTTCGCAGAGGGAGATCTGGGCAAGAACAAAATGATTTTAGAAGGAGAAATTAAGGATGCAAAAATGTAGCCTGAATTTCATCCGATTACTTCGAGTCGTTATTAGGGAGCTTTAGCAACGACGACGGCGACGGTAACGAGGACGTCAAAAAAGCAATAGGTTTAGATAGGCAAAACAACAACTTTGCACGTGCATCACGCTTTTTTGTACATTTCTTTACCGTCCTTGCACGACTACGACGTGAAAATGCCTAATTGCAAGTTTTATGGAGGCGTAAACAAGCGACGACGAATCTCTTTTTCTCTCTCTAAACTTGAGTGCGGTCCTCAAGAAATCAACTCCAGGGAAATTCGCCTACACTTGCCATTTTCAGCAAATTGGAATGAACGCGACAAAGATTGAAAAAACGGAAATTTATTTTAAAACTGACGTTTTCGCTGCCGTTGCGGTCGTCGATGTTAAAGCTCCCTATTAATCCCTCAATAACGTCGTTGCTGAGAGGAGAAAACGACTCCAAGCAGTCGGATGAAATTCAGGCTAGCAAAAATGACCAGTTTTTCATTTGATTTTCAAACACTCGTTAAACATTTATTTATTTTGTATTTTTGAAATATAATTATTAATTATTAATGAGTTTAAGAAGTGAAACTACCGCGTTTTTGCATTCCAGCATGTTCCGAGCAGTTTGTCCTATCATTCTCATCTGGGCTGTAACTTAAATATAATTTACCATTCCACTGCAGATCAAATCCTATCTGGGTTGACCCGTACAATAACTGGGGCATGAGAACAGACGACGAAGATGGATCCTAGTAAGAATATTGTAAATTTGCATTTGGTAGACCTTTCTATACTCTAGGACAAACCTATTTGGCGGATGATTTCCTATATAAATCTTGGAACAATCTTACACTACTTCCGAGCAGTGTTTTCCTTAAATAGATATAATTAGTTATCTGTAATAACACCAAAGAAAGTTTCACATGCGAGCCCGAGAAAATAAATGTCAAATTTCGGAAGAATTGTGAAAACAGAGGTAAAATTCTGAAAATTTCATGCAAAAGATGTCATTTTGTGAAATTTGACATTTATTTTCTCAGGTTCCCGTGCAAAATTTTTTTTGGCGTTATTACAGATAACTAATTACATCTATAGCTCTTGAAAAATGTAAAAAAAAAACATTAATGCAATATTGTTTAAGTTATTCTAGAACAAGTACAAGGTTTTTGTCCACTTAAAATTAAAATTACTCAATTTCGTGATGGATTCCGGCTTAAACCTTTTGACGTATTCGTGCAGAGTACACTGTTATTACAATATGTGATGAATGATGAATTGATGAGTTAATGGAGATACGAACTGAGTGACTCTACCTTTAGTTATCTTGTAACTATAGACACCGAGAAGTGGATTGGAGAAAAAAAAGAGAGGCGGAGCCTTTTTTAAAGAGATTTATTTTCTTTTTCTTTTTTCCTTTCGAAGCTTTGACATTATTGGTGTGAAAAACACTGTAGCTAGCGTTAAAGCAGTTTCTGAAACCATTAGTATAGAGACATTCAAAGCTAATGTCGAAGATTTAATTCATCAGAATCAATATCATTGTCTCCTTCCTGTATTCTCTTGTATTATCTTATGAATTTTAAGAAAGTTCAATAAAATTCAAACTCAAATTGCTGCATTTTAATCTGAATTTAGTGAGATGAATGTGGGACGAACATATGACAATCCCTCGCCATTCTATGGAAGTTCATTTCACATACCCGAGGACGCTGATGGAGAGCTCTATGAGGTACAGGTATGAGTAAGGAGCAGTCCTCCGGCCGGCTCCACCTCTTCTCTCTACTGCTGGTATGACTGTCTTTCTTCTTTCTATCCTGTCTTCTCATAATAGCCGACGTCATGCATGTTTACGTCAGACGAGCAATTTCATCACCAAGTCTTGCTTCGAAAATCTTATTTGGCAAAGTTTTACTAAATTGAATCCCCAAGACTGTTGTTTCAAAAATAATACCATGAGTAATCAGTTCAAATGCAAATATTTCTGTTCATGAACGAGCGAGGCTTGGTTATGAAATTTGCTCGTCTGGCGTAAACACGCATAAGGGCCATTCCAGAGTGTTTTGCACTACCTTGTCCACTCTATATAATCTTTGACACCTTTCAACATGCATGTTGTTTAAAATTATTATCATCATCATCATCATTATTATTATTTCATTATTTAAGACAAATTTCTTACGTACAACTTTGACGAGTCCCATGTAATGTAGAGCCAACGACGGAAACTCCAGTAAAGACTGAGCCAAGTATTTGAAAGCTTCGTTTTTACTCTTGAACTTGCGTACCCTTGATCCAGAGGTCTGTTCCCTGAATATCTAGTCCCGTTCGCCCGATTTGACTTCTCCACGAGCTATCAGCAATTAGGTAAGAGAAAAAACCTCTTCCACTACCCGGGTAGAACTTGAACGACTCCGCCTAAAAATTAACTTAGATTTTGATTGGTTCTGCGTTACATGAAATCGATCAAGTCTAATAAAACGTGTCAAAGACTTTGTGGCAGGGTAATGTGATCTTCACTATCGAAGGGCTGTTTCACAAGATGGTGAAGACAAAGTGTCTTAAGAAAGTGTATCCTATAGATTTTAAGGAAGTTAGTACACGGTTTTTAGTCGCAAACTGTGCATCATGATGAAGAAGTCCCTTAATTTTTCACTCAACACTTAATTCTTGCTTACTAACTTGCTTCTTGACTAATCTTTGTTCAGCGATTTTATCCTCTTTCCTAATTTCTAATATCTCATTAAACGTTACCTTACATGACCTCACAGCATACGGTAATCATATTGTCCGAAAAGGTTCATTTGGGCTCCGTTGAATTTTGCTAGATATGCTTCAGGCTCTGAAGAAAAATCTTTTTCGTAGGAAAAGCCTAAAAACAAATTAAAGGTAAATTAGGCAAATATAATAACGATTATGATTTTGGCGTTTTGTCTGCTGTTGCAGGAATTCTCAACGGACATGCGCGAAGATGAAACAAACAGCATAGAGGAAAATCCAGGGAAGAGTTGTACAGGAAGCAGGAAAAGTTCCTCCTCACCCCCCTCCCCCGAAGTATATGAGTCGTCACCAAGAACGGAACGACTCTACAACACCGAAAACCAAGACAAATACACTGTCACCTCCATATAACCAAATCTGATGATGTCATGCGTGTGTCAAGGCCTCGAGAGAAAAAAAAAGAATGATGACTCACAATAGATCCTTCCAAGGTTTTTTCAACTTTTGACTGGCACCAGTTAGCAAAAACCCGCCAACACAGCTTGATGGAGATTCCCTTATAATTAAGACCAATAAAGATACCAAGTTTGAAAGTGAGTTGTTGAAAACTTACACAGATAAAGCTCCTTAAGGTCATGCAATCTACTGTTTTCTGTGGTGGGGGCAAGTTCCTTCCCCCCACCACACAAATAAGTGTAAGATTTCGCGACTTTGTGGAGAAAATATTAATTTCGCTTTCTTTGGACGTATCACCTTTAAACTTATTTTAATAAGTTACCTAATTTGGAGGCCCACCACTTTGTAGTGTGGAAGGGTCTATTATGAGAACAAATGTACTATTTGTAATTACAACTGCGATTTGTTGACCTTTTCCTGTAACAAATAAAAATGGCAGCACGTTTTGGGAATTTGCTCAACTTCTTTTCTTAAAATGAGCGATTACATACAGGCAAACGCAATTGTTTTCATAGTTAGTTTTTTATATTTTTAATAAAAAGAATTCTGTTTAAATGTTTAAAATATTTACAAAAAGGTAATTCAATGCATGGTGATGAAATCTAGTGCATTCTTTTTTTTATATATATGACTATCTAGCACTTTGAGTGAAATATTTCTGTAGAGGTCTGTAAACTGGAAGTTAAAGCCGTGCTGGCATGGCACAATGTTACAAATATTCTTCCTCATTCCAAAAAAAATTTAATCTAACTGATAACTGTAATGAAACAAAAGGATCCTAGACTAGACATTTGTATGACTTATATCTAGTAACGTAATAGCTCCTTTTACAGCGATTTTTAACATTTGAGGCATGGAAGGTACATGCCATTTATGGCCCATGTTAAGGGAAATTGTACGTTTTGAAATAAACTGACATTGTACACTTGTGAGTTCTTTTGTTTGCTATATGTTATAACTGGACGGAGGATGAAATTAATATTCCTGTGGAAAAATTCAAGGGGAAAATTCTTAGTTACTATTTAACTTAAAAATTGCTCAGGAAAAAAAATTGGTATATTCAAAGGAAACTAAACAGGAAATATCGTAACTTACGCTAGTTCTTCAAGATATCCGTCCTCAGAATTCTCCATTCGGCTTTACAGAGCCTGCAAACGGCAGACGTATTTCCGGTCGTCTCTTCTCTGAAGGCTATTATTAAATGAGCTGTGTCACGAAATTCAGCCAAATTAGGAAATTAAAAAATGCAAGTTAAATTAAGAGAAACATTAAAATGACCGCTTAAAACTCTAAAGAAAGGTTAAAATAACATAACAGACACAACGGATGCCACGGTTGGGCAAAACGGAAGATTGAAAGGGATTGAAATTAGGGTTTTTGAAAACTGTACAGCCTAACAGCTTTTCAAAGTTGATCCCTGCTGCTTGCAACTTCAAAAATAATGCTCAGGAGACATATTTGTTTGTCTCGGATCTATGATTTTGTCATTTATATGAAATTTCTTTGCTTACTTTAAGTTGCATAGCGTTGAGGGCGAGTAATTGGGAAAATTAAACAAAATGAAGTGGACTGCCGTGACACAGCCCTTTTAACAGAACAGTGAATTGTCTCCTTTGGGGTTTAATAGAGCCTCAACTACGTCCCAGGGCCTTTCCTTTAAAAAGGGGAAAAGCCCTGGGGATGAGGTTGATAGAGCCTGAGCCATACCAAGGGCTGATCTCCTTTAAAGGTTTTAAAACACTCTAGTTTTTTGACGGACAGCTCCGGAAGTCCCCTGCGGGAAAGTTGATATGAACATCACTAAAACTGTTCCCAAGATCAAGTTAAAGATCTTTATGTTTTCCGCCCCGAGTTTTGTCGGTCGTTCTTCCTGATCGATATTAAGTCCTAGACTGGCCTGCATAGCACTTTGTTCACGTGACCTGCTAACTTCTTCTGGCGTGTATATTACTCCATATTTCAAATGGACGTCATCTTGAATACGCTATCCACTTTGTCCCAAACAGGCTCCTTATCCATGGCACAATTTCGAACTGACCTTCACTTAAATCAAAATTTCAAAACTGATTTCTAACAAAATCTATGGATTAAAACATTCAAATTACCAGTCAATAAATGTTGGCAGGGCAACGACTTGCATCTTTAATTTTGTGCCGAAATATTAAATTTTAAAACTCACAACTAAGTTTTGAGGGTTGTATATTAACGATTGGCCAACCAAAAGATTTTTCCACTCCACAGTCTGTATAGATTCAATAGTGTTTGCACGTTCGATAGATTGAAATTCTAACATAACTCCGAGGCTTTAGGATCAAAATTGCAAATTTTTCAAGACACCATTTTCTCGCAATTCCCAAAACAGACTTGAGCACAAAGAAAACGTAACCAAATATAGAAAAATGATCAGAAAGCCTTGAAGAGGGGGACATTGGGGATTTGCGGTGTTGCGGTGTTGGGCATTTTTTCATGCGGTAATGCGGTGAATAAAATCTCAGCTTGCGGTGTTGCAGTGTTTTTAAACCTCACGGTATACGATGTTTGCGTCTTAAAGTCTGCGGTGTTTGGTGAAACGAAGTTATCTGCGGTGTCGCAGTTTCCATTTTGAAGCTTGTCAGTTCTAAATTTAGCCTCCATCATGTTTGATTTGAAATAAAATACACTCTAAGGGTCCTCTAATACTCTCTAGTTAATATTAAATACGCTGCCCGTCACCAATCCTAAGCCTGTTTTTCATTTATATTAAGTAACTTGATAAGCAACGTGACCTTCGCGACCCGGATCGCCACATGTACGTTCGTCAGGCAAGATGAGCGAAAACCTTGCGACTGACGCAGCTGATCCTGTCGATCCTGAATGCGTAGTTCATTGCGTAGCTTTTTTTTACGAGGAGGGCAAAGGTGGAGAAGACTATAGGTGGAAAAACAAATTTCGATGCTCCATAAACAAGGAGGAAAAGAGACTCGCGAAGTTTGTAGAATGCATTTGGTAAGTAACACGCATTGTCTCTGTATCTGAAAATCGTAGCTAGTCTTAACTGTATAAGGTCGTACGGAGGTCAATCTGATATCTGTCTAAACCCACCCCAAGGTCGTTCGATCTTCTGGGACCTTTAAGACGCTGTTTGGATCACTATTTGACCTATTTTTTGTCAACTTTCTCAAATGGGTCAAATAGCATTGATATCAAGCGCGTGAACGAGCCGCGGGAGACTAGGGGGGAGGGACAAGGGGGAGGGGTAAGGTGTATTTTTGTTGTTGTTGTTTAAAAAAGAAATAACAGAGAAAAAAAAATAAAGAAAGAATAAAATTTCAAGCCAACGTGGTAACGCGAAAACTAGTTTTGGCTAGAATAAATGAGTCGCGGGCTGTTCTGGGTTTGAAAATTAAAGATATTCGATATATGACCTATATGCGATGTTATGCGAGATTGGGCATCGTCGTATGGAGCCGCAGTGCGACAGCGGACAGTGCGCCAGGAGACGACGATGGCCAAGCATGGCACTCTACCCGAGTACATCTATCAGCGACACTGCATCAGTGCCGAACGGCCTATCAATGTCTCTTTCGAGGAACCTGAAGAAGAAGAAGAAGAAGAAGAAGAAGAAGCTAGAATCGATGAAAACGGAGATGAGACGGAATATGACCAAAGCTAGTGATGAGGATGATGCAGGGGCCAGCAACGAAAGTGGAAACTATTTATAAGAAGAGATTGGAAGCTCCACGACATTTTTACTTGGCGCAAAGTCACGCTTTGGCAGAGCCATTCGTTTTAATAATCGCCTTTTTTTAAATTTTTCCATCCTCATAAACCTTATGCATAATGACGTAAAACAATGCTTTTGCGGCTTGAACGTGCATTGTGGTAGTTGTAGTCATGCACGAATCCAATATGGCGTTGTATTTCCCCGAAGCGGCAAATTTAAATGGCAGAAATGCTGACAAGTGTTCTGATGTGGCCGGGCGGTCAAGTAGCGGCTCGGGGTATTTGTTTGAGCCTTCAGATACGTCAAATACTACGTACTTTTCCTATTTCCCCCACTACTATTACAACTGGCCGCCATCTTGGATTTGAGCGTGACTACAACTACCATACTGCCTTTCGGGCGTGTTACGTCATCATGCATACGGTCTATTGCCTGAGTACCCATAGTTAAAAGGTTTCAAAGCCTGAAACTTAAATATTCAAGAAAGGAGACTGGGAGTATTTTTCTGTGACAATGTTAATTAATTTCAGGACAAGCGACTCTCCGGAAATATTCTTGTACCCCTCCTTGAAGTCATGTCAGAATTTTAATATATTGAACGTGGGCTATTCAAAACTATCGAATAATTTAAAAGACGTGCAAATGGAAACTATTAAGGACGCATTCACCATTTGCATATCTCCCATATTATACCTTCCTTGTCCCCCAAAAGTTTGCATAACTTTTTGTTTTTAATTTCTCATGGGTATTCTGTCGTCGCAAGAGAAATTGAAGACAATGTTTATGCAAACGTTTGGGAGGTAGGCAAAAAAGGTGTAGTATGGGAGATGTGCAAATGATGGAAAATGACAAAGCATGACAGTGAATATGCAATTTTCTGCATATTTAATATGTTATTTCAACCAATGTTCCTGTGCTGAAGACCCATTCTATCAAGACAGCTCCCGAATTACATGAACCAAAGGCATTTGAGCATCAAGATTTAGTAAGTATGAGGTGACTGTCGTATTCTTCTAGAGCAAACAACACAATCTTTTAAAGGCAGTCTATTCGCCTAGATATTTTACCAAATACTTAAAATCAGGCAAAGACTAGCAAAATATGCTAAAATTGGGGACCCAAGGACAAAAGAAATGTAATAATGACTATACATCAATGCTTTACTCGCGCTTATTGCCGGATACAATGACTAATTTTATGAAAGTTTAAGAGACGATTTTTTTCAAGTACTTTTTTCTTAAATAATTGTTACTATTTTATTAAATCCCGTATAAACCCATCCTCAGAGAACCAGGGGAAGCTACTTGGGACGATAGAATGTTCCTGGTGAACGTTTACTATTAGCTCTGACCACGCCACATTTCATCGTCCTGAGCTGCCCCTGGGTCTTCAAGCTGGTTCAAACCATAAACCGTGCCATTCTTAGCTCCCCAACATCTTACAAACTCGAAGTCCGAAGGAGCTTTGTAGTCAAGGCGAGTAACTCTTTTAATTCAATAATAATTACTCTGGATATCCCGCCGTTGTTCTTGTTCTTTTTCTAGTTCTCTTTTCTTTTTTTCTTTATTTTTTTCTCTTCTTTCTCTTTGGAGTGAATTCCTTGCGTCTATTTCAAAACAATTGAAAGAGAGTCACCATGTTTAAGATTCCTTTTTTTAACTTTTGAAGAAGAAAATTACACAGCTAATCAGACCATGCATGTAGTTACAATATTTACCTCTCAGCAAAAACCCTTCAGGACATACTTCCTCGTTACCTTACTGTCACCATGGAAATTATATTTTTGCTCGACTTGTACTTGACCGAGCATGTTTGAAATGTATATTTCGTTTCAAGTTTATTGATTTCTCTTGTTAGCCTTAACTAGAAAAATGGAGGTAAGTCTCCAGATATTTTAAAAAGTCTATATTTACAACTACTGAGATATTGATTAAAACAGCACACCTGCGTTATAAAAACATGTTCAATACGATCATATTTAGACATCTGTTTCTTTTGTTGTATCTTGCCCGAACGTGAAAATGAGGTTGGTATTTTAATAATTGTGGTTTTGTTATATCTTGCAGTTGAACAAGAGTTTATGAAAATGGTGTTCAGAGCAGTTGTAATTCAATCATTGATTGCGGTGGTGGCCGTTGTTTATAACATGCAAGGTAACGTGGACGGTTTGAAACTAATAACTTAACAC